TCTTTGTCCCCTATGAAAAGATTTTTCATAAAGTGCAGAAGCACTTACGCAGCGATCTGTTTTAAAGATTAGACTGAAAAGCAATGTTCTGATTTACTTGCAGATTTTCAGATTTCATTGCTACAGAGACAAATTATCTCCCTGGGCAACAAGGTGCAAATGATTTCTCTACTCGGTAATAGAAATCAGGCTGGTTCGTCTTTCATCTGTGCAGGTCAGCGGGTTGGATTTTAATAGGCATGAGGTTTCTGAAATGAAAAAAGTCAAATAACTGTAAGAAAAACCTCCAGCTGGTGAAATCATCAGTGATCTGCCTCCTCTCTCATTACAACTGATGAAGAGGAGTCCGACTGTGTGTAAGAAACCTGCTGTGGTAGGCAGCATCCCTGTGGTGGGCTTCTGATTCAGGGCTCACACTGCCCTCTTGTGCCTGGTGGAGACAGGAAAAGAAAAGTTTCATTAGAAAGTCTCAGTTGTTCCTTTATGTCACGTGGTCGCTGAAATATTCAGGAGTTACTAGGGTGAACTTCGCAGCATCACAGGAGATGAAATTCTTTGTAAGTTCACAGAGAAATGTTCTCTTTCTCAAACACACACATGCAACCGTGTGAGTGTCTCTGTGTCTGTCAGAGGAACCCTGAGGACGGGTTTATCCTGTGATGGTCATTCCTGTGCGCTCCACTGAGTTCCTGCAGTGAGATAAGCTGCATCCCGTGCCTGGCTACGGCAGCATGTGACCGGCTTGTGATCAGATGACTTTCGGGCCGACTGTACTAGTCTGCAGAGCACAGCCAGAAAAACCTCTCCCATTCTGCCTCCTACGTCTAGTTTCCACATGTTGTGAATTGGACCGTATGATCATCACGATGTACCTTGTGGTGCATATGATGAAGTCAAAGATTCATTGTAATATATGGGGGGGTTTTCTAACACATTAATGCTTCATGAAATGTTTTGTAGCTTTGTTAGAAACTTAGTGCACTTTATTCTACCAGCTAGTTATTTATTACATAAAATAACTTCCACCATGATCTCCAGAGTTGGAAAAGTTCATTTATTGTTACTTGATAAAGCTGCTAATAGTAGCTCTGAACATGCTCACATAATGACGCAGCAATCACAAATATTAATAAAGCTTACACTTAAGTATTACCACGCTGAATAAGAATATAAACACAGCATGCATATTGTTCACTTTATTTACTTAAAGAAAACTACAGTTTTTATTTTTCATGGCTAGAAAAGGTGTTTAATTTAGCCAAATGTGCACAAACAGTTTTGTGCTGTTGAACTTGTCTCAGTCATAGTCATTCTAAACCTTCATCAGGTCAGACTTCATAAAACAATGATCAGATAACGTGACCAGGACACAGACACTGTTTAATCAATAATTACAAAGGGGCACCCTAAAATGCGATTTAATTCAGAAGACACAATGCCACAGATGACAAGAGAAAGACGAGAACGAGCTATCGGCTATGTTTCACTTCGGGCTGTAGATAGGCATTTTAATGTCCAGAACTCCAACATTTGTTGTCTAAGAAATCCTCCCAGACATCTCTGGATGTGCCTGACAATGTAATGTTGTCCCCAAATGGTCCACCAACTTCTCCATTTCTCCATTCAACACACAGCATCAACAAACTTTTAATTCTTCACACCACATTTAAGTAATTTGTTACTGACTTGTGATTTTAGGTCTACGACGCCACTCTCAATCTTCCCGTTATCATTTCCTATACAGTACATACCTGATTGTCTCATGATGTTGTTTGTACCCCTATGTTTCAAAAAAGGGATAGAATTTAATCAAATCATAAATGCTGTATATATTTTTTTGTTTGGTGTATATTTACTCAAAGCATCTAAACCTAAATAAGACTATTCATAATTACCATGATATTTTACTCATAACGCATTATACTTGGTTGTATTACTTTCAACACAAACGTCTCTACGTATTGCCCTCACAGCGTTGCCTATACTTCATGTGTCTTCGCCTCCTTCAATACACAAAAAGCAGAACGACCTGGTTATTACTTCAATGTGCGTTTTCTCTTCAAGAATGAAAGGTTTGGTTTTCATTCTAATCACTGTAAAACACCACTGACATCAAGTATTTTTTATGGTTCTGTCTTTATGAATTGTTGCTTTCATTCCTACTAACACTCAGTGAAATAGAATAACAAGGGCCTGCCACTGCCTGTTTTCATTTCTGTGGCATGAAATTAGTTTATTAGCATGGAAAGTCACGTATTACTGTAAATGATGCCTGCAACGCTGACTGCTTCCACAGTAAAGCTCCCATCCTTTATATACAGTGATCACTTTACCAGGGAAAGACAATTATGGAAACATATTTTAACTGTTTATCCTCAAAGAGATCTAGATTGAGTAAATTTCAGCTGTAAACATATGCTACACCAGATCTTAATCAAGTTTTAAACAATGTTCCTTGAGGCTCTGTTTAGGATGTTACCTCTTTGCATGCTAAAGCTTGTTGGAGTTTAACGTTTCCAGACAGCACTGTTGCATAATGTAGCTTTAATAGTGAAATCATAAAACATTGATAGTATCTCTAACACTGAAATTCTGCCTGCCACATTATTGAAAGAAACTAACCATTTACCCTCCACAAGGGACGTCAGTGATCGTGTTTAACCTAATGACCTTTTGCTCACTTCTAGATTGTCTGTAGGTGTGAATGTGAGTGTGCTTGGTTGTCTGTCTCTAGGTGTGGCCCTGCGATGGACTGGCGACCTGTCCAGGGTGTCCCCTGCCTTTGCTCTAGGTCGGCTGGGATGGGCTCCAGCCCCCCGCGACCCTAATGAGGATTAAGCGGTGTATAGATAATGGATGGATGGATGGATCTTTTGCTCACTATGCAACATAATCTAGTAATTGTATTATTCACTTCAATGTTTCTACTGCTTTCTTCAGCATGAGATTTTCCAGGACTGTTGTGTATGACGTGAATGGTTTCTTTATTATGTAACTTTAGTCAACATTAGCGATACAAGACGAGCTCAAACACTTACTATAACAGGCAACTTGCCAACTTACCAATAGCAATGGAGACAGGTCATAGTGAAACTCTACACACTGAAAAAAGGCACAAAATTAAATGAAGTTTATCCAAATTAAGTTAACAACTAATATTAATGCCACTGGTTGAAATTAGATGTACTGAGATCATTTGATTCTCTTCAAATATATGTAAATATTGCTGCAACTTAATTTTTAAGGACAACCAACTTGAAGTTTCCAACTTTTCCAAACATAAAATGTACAACATGATTTGGGACTTTTTAAGTTTTCTTTACTCTGTAATTCTACTAGAAGAAAACAGAAGTTGAGTTACAGCAGAAAAAATGAAGAAGCGTGACATCAGACGCATAACGCTTAAGGAGTAAACGTATTTTTTACAATTTCATCAAAACTAGAATACCAGTTTAAAGGGACAAAGTGTCATTTCAAGTTGATAGAATCCACAAAAGTAAACAGCCATGACCAAAGCAGGAAGATAAGTTATGACAAAATAGTACTTCATTTTAATTACAGTTCAAATACACTTTTTACAGCATATTTCACATAGCCTTATCTAAAAATGTTTGAAAGTTTTTCCTGAAGGATAACGTAAGACTAGAGAAGTTTTTAAAATGTTCAACATGTTAACCAATATGTGATGCCTTTAGAAATCTTCCTCATCCCTATCTCCACTCACCACTTGCTGCAGCCAGTGCACACCAGCTCACCCTTGACTCTGCTCAAACTCTGTACAAAAAATACTCTAAGCTACACAACGGCAAGTTCTAATGCTAGACATGTTTGAACCAGAAAATGATCCTAAAGAGGAGCAATGCTACAGAATGCTCCACCGTGAGGTGATGAGATTGGTTCCTGAAATGTCTCACATATGAAACCCTAGAAGTATAAATCTGTGTTTAAGACTGTCATAAGTACACTGCAGTTTCAAGGTGGAAATACTCAGCCATGATGCTGACTGAATATCTCACTCAAGATGTGACTTAAAAAAAAACAAAGCATAACAACAACAACAACAACAACAACAAAAACAGTATACAGACATGTCAACAAGGTGAAAAAAAAAAAACAGATTTTCATCAGAGAGCTTTAACATTCTGATATACTCTTATCTACCACTGTGCTGCAACAGAGTAAAGTGATAATGACACTTTCAACCAGAAGAACAACCTAGAGAACAGAAACACCAAAAACCTGCAGACCTATATATCACAGCAGCACAAAAACTGGTTTTGATTGATGTTCTGTACAAAATCAGTTTTCTACTTCTTTATCTTCTGCTTCTTTTCTGACTCTCACTTCTCTCTTTCTGTAGCACACACACTTGATCATGCATAAATTCCTGGCAAGGCTTTGTCAAGCTGGAGGCATGTCGCACACAGACAGGCAGACACACACACACACACACACACACACACACACACACACACACACACACACACACACACACACGCGCGCGCATTTCTGCCTGAGGTATAGTGGAACAGAGGTCAGCTGGTCTCAAGACAAAATGAATCAGGAATCAGGAATATTATCCTGAGCATGTGATGGTTTGTGCAGCGCACATGCTTGGAAATGAGTGTGTGTGTGTGTGTGTCTTAGTGAGTGCGTGAGATCACAATGAGATCACACACTTTGTCCAAGGACAGCCCACGAAACAGCTCAGTGAGGAGGCAGAGAACTGGAGACTGTTGGTTGGGTGCTGGAGAGAGAGGAAGGTGGACGGAGGTTTGGTGGCTGGTGGTTAGATGGAAGGTTTGAGGAGCAGCAAGTTTTAAAAACCTGCAAAAGTTGGACATTGGTCACTTCTGGGTAAATACAGGTACATGAAGATTGTGTAGTTTCTTATTTATTCCTTGATCATATTTAGCTGAATGCGTAATCCTGTATTTCTCTGCTTTTGCTAACTAGAGGTAACTGTTTGGGAGTAAACTTGCTCGTCTGTGCTGCTGTTGCTGCATCAAATCTTCTCATCTGCATCATCTGAGAGGACATCAGTTCTCCAGTTTTTCAACAAGAGTTTCCACTTAAGACTGGAGTGGCTCAAACTTTCACCATGAGGAGTCTATGTGTGCCTCTACTTCTGCTGCAGCTCATTGGTACTTGTTTATGCCAGTTCCCTCGTCTATGTGCCAACTCAGAGGGACTGCGAACCAAAGAGTGCTGTCCAGTGTGGGATGGAGACGGCTCAGCCTGCGGTGCCCTGTCAGGCCGCGGTTTCTGCACAGAGGTGCTGGTCTCAGATGAGCCCCACGGGCCACAGTACCCTCACAGTGGGATTGATGACAGAGAGCGCTGGCCTTTAGCTTTCTTCAACCGGACGTGTCGTTGTGCTGGAAACTATGGCGGTGTTAATTGTGGTGAATGCAGGTTTGGTTACTGGGGCTCAAACTGTGCCGAGTACAGAGAATCAGTGCGCAGGAACATTATGACCCTGTCGTCCGCAGAGCAGCAGAAGTTCATCTCCTACCTGAACCTGGCTAAAAACACCATCAGCCGTGACTACGTCATCGCCACAGGAACAAGAGCAGAGATGGGTGAAAACGGCGAGAACCCCATGTTCTCTGACATCAACACCTACGACCTGTTTGTCTGGATGCACTACTACGTGTCCCGAGACACCTTCCTGGGAGGACCTGGGAATGTGTGGAGGGACATCGACTTTGCCCATGAATCTGCAGCATTTCTGCCCTGGCACAGAGTCTTCCTGCTTCACTGGGAGAACGAGATAAGGAAACTGACAGGAGATTTTAATTTCACCATCCCATACTGGGACTGGAGGGATGCCCAGTCCTGTGAGGTGTGCACCGATTCTCTGATGGGTGGACGCAACTCTCTCAATCCCAACCTCATCAGCCCTGCTTCTGTCTTCTCCTCATGGAAGGTAAGACAAAAAAAACTTGTCTCTTTGACTGTGAGTGTGTGTGTCTGAGTGAAAACATGCATGTTTGACTGTGTAGCTGCACATGAAAATCATTCTTATCCCTACTAAGAGACCGAAAATTCCTTTAGATCCAAAACAAAACCTTCTTTTGTTTCCATTGTAAAGTGTAGGTCTGTCACTTTCAATTTGATTTATCCAGTTAATCAAAAGAAAGGAGAGATTTTATTTTAAGGATTCATCCTCAATTGATGTAACAAGCATAAATGAGAACGAGTAAAATCCTGCTTCAGAGGATTTGCCTTCATATTGTAAAGCAAAGGTATCACCATTATTTCACAAAAGCTGTGAGAGAAATCCAACAAAAATGTTCTTTTACTTTACCCAGCCATCATGTTCTGCTGTAGATCCAACATCACTTAATTTGTCTTCAATACTAACACCTAAAAACACTCACCCTCCAAGCAGTCACATCAGCCTGTTCAGGGTACATTATGTGAAGAGCAGGTTATTATTTAAGTTTACATTTTCTCTTTTTATGATCATTCTATTCCTGTTTATTTCCAGATTCACAGTTTGATGAAGTAAACATTCCTGCATGAGACCCATTTCACAAAACCCACACTGAACCTTTATTAAGGCCTGTAGGCTCTTGAACATCAGTAGATCAAGAAATGTGTGTGTTTGCTTGTGTGTGCAGGTGATCTGCACCCAGCCAGAGGAGTACAACAGCCGAGAGGTGTTGTGCAACGCAACAGGGGAGGGTCCACTGTTGCGTAACCCCGGCAACCATGATCCCAACCGCGTGCCTCGACTACCCACGACAGCTGATGTGGATTTCACCGTGGGCCTCCCCGAGTACGAGACAGGAACCATGGACCGGCTCTCCAACATGAGCTTCAGAAACGTCCTAGAGGGTAGGAGTGGTCCACACGCATTTGTCTTACTGTTATTTCATGAATCAAACACTAAATCAAAGTCTTGCTTAATACATATGTCAACTCTAGTAAATAAACACATATATGCATAAAACTATAAACACAAATGACCTAAAGTCAAACACAAGAGGAAGAATCACTGTGTACACACCCACAAGACTGAAAAATAGGCATTCCACTAAAACATGGCAGCTTAATTTTATTTTTTTTTAACATGGGGAAAGAAAGTTTTTTGTGTGTTTTTAAAATACATTTTCATTTTAGCAGTATGTTGCTCCTTGAGACTAATACTTCTAGTCCCTCTTAGTAGTGTTAGTAGCTACATTTTCTATGAGCATCACTTAGAGATAGCTCTATTATAAATGATTGTGTCCACAGTTAATGTGCAAGAGACTGTCAATCTAAATTATGTCAAAAGCTTTTTAAAGATGTGTGAAACAGCACTTGAAACACTAAAATTCATTAATTCTATTTAGGTCTGTTCAGACTTTGAATGTGATTCCCCAGTTGTCGCAAATTACTGTTGAAATTGGTTGAACAGAGGAGATTTTATACATTTATCATTTATTTTTTCACAAATATCTCTCAATTCCTGTTTAATATTGTTCACCCTTTTCGTCACTCAATTAGTTGCTATTTACCCTATTTCACATGTTATCCTCCTACCCATCTATCTACACTTCAGTAATCTCTGCTTTACCTTTTACTCATGTGTCATACACCTGTGTTTACTCTCTCTGTGTCCTGCAGGTTTTGCCAGTCCAGAGACAGGTATGGCAGTGCCAGGTCAGAGCACCATGCACAACGCCCTGCACGTCTTCATGAACGGCTCCATGTCCTCAGTCCAGGGCTCAGCCAACGACCCCATCTTTGTTCTGCACCATGCTTTCATTGACAGGTAACACACATACACACCAGTTAATTAATGACATAAAGGCAAACTGCTTTAAAAAAAAAAAAAAAAAAAACTTAAAAAAAACCCCAAAACAGGCAAATGGGAGACAGAGAATGTGCAACAATAGAAGGAAATGAGGGTAATTACTCCGAACACATCCTGGTGTTCATCTAATTCTCCCTTTCCATCTTTTTCTTCTTGTCCAGTATCTTTGAGCGCTGGCTCAGGACCCACCAGCCTCTCCGGACCAGCTACCCGCGCACCAACGCCCCTATCGGCCACAATGACGGTTACTACATGGTGCCCTTCTTCCCTCTCTATAGAAATGGAGACTACTTCTTGTCCAACAAGGCTCTAGGATACGAGTATTCCTACTTGTTGGATCCTGGTCAGTGCAAAACTGCAGACATGTCCAGTGAATTACTGTTCATACAACTTTCCCCTGTGTGTAAAACTGTCTTATCCCGTCTGTCTCACCACAGGCCAGAGGTTTGTTCAGGAGTTCCTGACGCCTTACCTCCAGCAGGCCGGACAGATCTGGCAGTGGCTCCTGGGAGCCGGGATTCTTGGCGCTGTGATCACTGCCCTCTTGGCTGTGCTGATTGTCGTTGCAAGAAGGAAGTGGAAACGTAACCAGAGGAGGAAGAGGGCTTCGAGCTATGGAGAGAGACAGCCGCTACTGCACAGCAGCTCAGAGGAAGGTTCATCTTCATATCAGACTACTCTGTAACACACAAGATACTGATACAGCTGTGTGTGAATGTACAAACTGATGAGGGTATGTCTATGAAGGCAATGAATGAAACTAACCTTTTCATTGATTTCCTACAAAAAAAATCTGATTTTAATTGTAAAATAATAAATAGAGCTTCAGATGAGCCAATGAAACATTTTTTAAAAATCAATTCAAACAAAACTGTACAAAGAACTGTGTTTTTCTTTTGTCAAGCAGACAGCTGTTTGTGCTGTCTTTGCCTTTGACATATATGCTGCTGAAACAACAGAAATGAAGTGAATTTCATCTGTGGTCATAGCACTGAAAAATGTCAGCAACATGTCTTTACGGATACACTGGGGGGAAAAAAAAAAAGAAAACAATTTTCTCTAATTTTGCTTTTCTTTTTTTTTTTTTAATGTATCGAGCACATTTTGGTATTCTGGAGAACAAAAAACATATTTCAATCTGTTTGGGTAGATATATCTGCAAATAAAATTTGGCCTATCTGCACGGCTACTTACCAAGAAATGGGAAATCTTTTTTTTGGAATTTTGGTGAACTCACCCTTTAAGGTCTAAGACAATTTAAACCACAGACTGTATGTCAAACATGGATGTAGCTACTACAGCGTCTTCCATTCGTTTGTGGGCTACAATTTGAATTCTCAGGTTTGGATTTTGGCCATTGTCATCTCAGGCCTTTTGAAGCCAGATGTGAGGAGTGAGGGGTTGGTCTGACTGAGAGTTCAAAGATAGGATGCTCACCTGTGACTTGTTCATCACAAGGTAGCCACACCCTCGGGCCTCACCTGCTTTACCATCTATTTCACTCTAAATGGGACAATGATCTACAAAATTATATCAAGTTGCAGTGACGGAGACTAGAAACTAGTGATCGAAGCTATAAACTAATTAAGAAAATGCTCGCTGAGGCTGCAAATCAGATGAAAAAGAGTAATTTTTTTGTTAAACATCTTTTACAACCAGAGAAGTCACCCCCTGCTGGTTGTTAGGAAGATTACTGTTTAAGGACACTTCACGTGGCATTACTTTTCAGATGTGGAAGCTAAGTCCATCTTTATATACAGTCTATGACTTAAGAAGAGACATGGGTTAAGAGCAGGGACCTAAAATCAGGAAGATATTTCTAACATCCACAGTGTTTGTTATACACACATAAACTGCTAAACTTTAAAAACCATTCAGTGTTCATTATTAGACTACAAAAAACATCAGTGTTGAAATGAAAATGTAAAGATTTATGCACTACATTGACAGTTTTCTTGTGGGTATTTGAATAGTGGCTTGTGTCAGATTAAAGCCTTTACGATCTCATGTAAACTGTTCAACAGCCACAGAAACTGTGTGTGGATCAGCAAAAAATGTGATCTTTTTTCTTCTTTGGCAACTTTCTCTAGACTTCAAGAGAGTCACATTTAATTTATTTAATATTGTTGTTATGATACTTGATTTCAGTGTAATTCTGTTTACAGAGCACACACTGTGTGTAAATACACCACGTTTACTAAAGTAGCCAGAGTTAAATATAAATTCCAACAAAGTGACTTCAGCTCAAGGACAACTTAGAGCAAAGTAAGTATTTTGAATAATTTAAAGTCAAGATAGGCCTGCTGCGGCTGTTCAGGTTGTTAAAGGTTGTTAAAATCACATTATTTGCTTCCTCATACTGAATAAAAAATCCTTAAAACAGCAATAAAAAACAAATATTGGGTCTAAAATGATCATGAATATTTAAGCATTTTGAGAGAAATTAAGGCCCAAACTGCTTTTCCAGAGGTAATTTGAGCTTCAGGATTCTTCTAAATAAGACCCCACATCTTAGAAAAGCTACAACGTAATACATCTACCCCTCTCTTGTGAATTTAGTGACAAGTACAACCATTTGCAGAGTCTTTCACTATTGAACTCTACCCTGTTTTACAGCAGCAGAAACACTAAAGAAACTGAATCATGAGTTTGTACGTGCTGCATTGAAATCAGACTTGATTCAAATTTTCTCTGTGATTTTGTTCCTCCGATGTTGATGCAAAGACAATCACACCTTTCAAAGTAACCAGAATGTGATGCATTTTGCTCATAGGGTAGCAGAAATCTGAATGCACTGCAGACAGTGGGCAGGGTTTATCTTTTGTTTGCTGCAGCAATGTCTGCCTCAGTAATTGGTTTATACTGTCAGTTTGTATATTGAGCAGCAAACATTTCACATTCTAACTGATATCAGTGTTTGTGTTTGTCAAACATCAAAATCACATTTGTCTAGTTTGACTAACAACTTGATTAGAGACAGAACCGGATTAGTTAGCGTTTGGTTAGCAGATTAGAGCCCTAAAGCACATCCAGTTGGTGCCATTAAACAGTGGTAGTGACAAAAAAAGACTAAAAAATAGGTAATTTATTCAAGATATAATAAATAGAAAATCTCTTTATTCTAGATTTTGCCTTGTTCTTAAATAAGAAGACGATCCTGAAAATAGGCATACAATTAAATGTATATGTATTTTATAAACTTCAAATTACAATTGCAGTTTACGAGAATATGGTTGCTTCAGTTGCAAAATCACAAATATAAAGATGTCTATCCTTTTCCTGGTGTTTCCAGTTTTGTAAGCATCAAAGTTACTAATTTAGGTATTAATTTAGAATTGCACCAGCATCCTCATTACTTTTTTATCAGGAACTTTACACTGCAACAATATGTGAAAATATTTGTGGACAAATTGCCAAAGCCCATATAAAAGTTTGACATTATGACATACTGCATAATAGCTTTAAAAATCATAAATAAATTGAAAAAACAACTACCTGTAACTAAAAAATACTGGTTTGAGGTGTAGTGTAGGTTTTCTTTGTATAGGATTTGTTACACAAATATGAACACTGAACAGAATTAAACAACAAAATGAAAAGAAAAACTGCATCAAGTGTCCATTATATGTCCTTATTTGTTTCATTCATTTTCTCTTTTGAGAGAAAACTGCCTCCAGTTCTGATAGGTCTCATAGACCAATCAAATATTCAGTTCTGTCTCCCAGCTTTGCCAAACGACGAGTGGTACACATAGACCCAACAACAACCAATCTGCAGAGAGCTGAAGTCTTAGCCCACTTTTCTCGGCTAGTTTCTAGTTTTCTTCTCAGTCTTTTAAAAACCTGAAAGACATTCATGAACTTTCTGTGCACACTCTCAGATTAAAGGATCTATATTGCTCTTCAGTGGCAGTAAAATAAAGGAATTGAGATTTTATTCTAAATACAAACAGCTCCAGTGGGGTTGTATTCCTATAGTATGGCAAAGACTTAAAGTACGGGAGTTGTAGTTTTTGGATACAAACATTTTATCACCGTAAAAACGCCAAACCATTCAATTTATATGCCCTGTACAGCAGAATATATCCATTTATTTTGGCTTTATCAAACAAAAGTGAATCCTGGAGTGCAACTGTAAGGGTTTGTAACTTAACATATTTGGTTGGGAGGGTTGGTTGTGAGCCCGTCTGGAGTCAAGTAAAGGTTAAAGGAAGTTTGCCTGACACTCAACTGGCCCTTGGTTATCGCCGTTGATTTGCCCGTGTGGCTCTGCTTATCTCCTAAATGTTCGTATGAAGGTTTTTGTCTTATCCCAGAGTGGCGGTTCAGCACTGGTCTACTGAAAGATCCATTCTCTCCGGTGTAATATCCTCTTGTTGTATTTGTGGTCGAGTCTGAGTCAGACCTTATTCGCACATCAGACTCCAGCATGAGAAAACAAATTTACTCCACAGAGGGGGTGCATCAGGGAAAAGATGAAACAGCGACTTGAGAAAAACCGAGCATCGTGAGCGGAGACTCCAAGCAGGGAGGTGGTTTCTTCGTTTTTTCTCACATGATGATTGGATCAGATGCTGCAGCCGATGGAGGTCAGGCTGATCTGTGGGGAGCAACGGGCCTCATGCAGCATGTCGAGGTTTGCCCTGCTGAGCCTTTCAAGACCACGGACTGGGATACACATAAAATATAAATATAGTCCAAGTATTTGAGTTAAATGCCATCTCACTGATTCATAGATGTGTACACAATTTCAAGTAACCACAATCAGTCACAGATATTCAGAAATAATACATCAACTACAGAACTTTTGTCCCAAAATGAATGAAAATCCATCCATCCATCCATCCCAAAGTAGCTGTTTTTCACTGAGGTTGCCCTTGAAGTGTGGAACCACATCTGATGTTTTCCATCAGCAGAACGACTCCTTGTTGAATTCGAATGTGGTTCCAGAGGATCGTGCTGAGTTACACAGTCTGTGCAGAGTCCTGGAGATGCCCTTTGGTCCACAACAGAAAACCCCGACTCGCTTACTGAAACCAGAGAGAGAGAGATAGCAACACTGTGGGATGTGGCAATGAAAACTTTTTAAAAGAATGAATAAATACTACTTGGATATTCACTTACTGTTTATTGCTCTTTCCAATCTCATCCAAAAGCAACTTCCACTTGGGTCGACCAACCAGCAGCCTCGATGAGAGTGGCCGGTACTTCTCCTCAGACATGCTCTGATGAAAAAAGAGCAAATAACAACAAAAGTGAGCAGGTTTGCACTGACAGTTCCCCGACTGACTGTGTCAAGTTCATTCATCGAAACTCTGATGTCCAAGTTCCAGTGAAAGCAACTAGTGCCAGTGAAAGTAGCATTAAATGACTGTAACAGCAATGACTACAGCAGCAGCCATTTTGCTGTGCAGCTGTGCAAAAACAACACAAAGACTGCAAAAGACACAGTTTTTGCCTTGAGTTGACAGAGGCGCGCACACACAGACCTCAAAATGTTACCAGGAAATGAAGTGCAATTTGTTGCTTCCAGCTGTTTGTAGGAGTCTTTCCACTGACTTTATTATATATAAAAAGCAGCAGGATGAATGTTTATGTCTCCAAAGTGAGATAAGTGTACCGATTTACACACAACAACACTTTATTAATTACTTCTATTTACAAATTCTCCCTGACATGGAGACATGATCTATCAGAATCTAACTTCCATCCATCTATCCATTATCTATACACC